TTGTGAGCTAGAAGCTATATATTAACAATAGAGGTAGATGAAGATAGTCATACAATGGAATACTCAATATATACCCATATATAAGAATAGTCATGGGATTCCTTTTTCTTTTTTAATTTAATTATTTATTTTGTCTGCACTGGGTCTTCCTTGCTGTGGGCAGGCTTTCTCTAGCTGCAGTGGGCAGGCTTCTCACTGCGGTGGCTTCTGGCATTGTGGAGCACAGGCTCTAGGGCTTGCCGGCTCAGGCATCGTGGTTCTCGGGCCCTAGAGCCTGCGCTCAGTAGCTGCAGCACATGGGCTCAGCTGCCCTCCCACATGTTGAATCTTCCTGGACCAGGGATCAACCCTGTCTCCTCTGCATTGGCAGGCAGATTCTCAACCTCTGAGCCAGCAGGGAAGTCCAGGATCAGTGTTTCTAATTGCCAAGACATTCAAATCTAAATGTCTGTCAAGAGACTTCCCTGGTGGTCCAGTGGTTAATACTCAGAGCTTCCAATACAGGGGGCCTGGGTTTGATCCTTGGGCAGGAAACTAAGATTCCACATGCCATGTGGTACTGCCAATAATAATAATGATGTCTGTCAACATTCCTACATTGTGTATGTACTACACTGCAATGAAAGTTATAAAACAGACTTACACTCTCATCAAAGATGGACTAATAAAGACTAGATCTAGCCTCCTGCCTGAAATAACAACAAAACTGGACAAAATGTATGAAAAAAAGGTTTTCAAGGCATTGGTTATCAGGTAATGATTGGGATCCTAAGGGGCAGAAGACACATGTAAACACTACCACTGTCCACACCACCTGGAGAGGTCACCATGCAGGCAGGATGAACCCTGGAAGTCCCCTTAAGTTAAGAAGATGGAGCTGTGAGTCTGAAGAGGCTGGTTGGCAAGAGTTTACAGGGTGGAGTACCAGAGATGAAAGAGATGCAGAGAGATAATTCTAGAGAATTTCAGAGGGCCTCCCTCATTGTTCAGCTGAGTTTTGATTAATACATGCATTGGAATCCTGACTGCCGCTATCTATCAATCAACACACCTGTTTTGAGCTCCTGGGTGTACTCAGTCCCTCAGTCATGCATGTCCGGCTCTTTGTGACCCCATGGACTGTAGACCGCCAGGCTCCTCTGTCCATGGAATTTCCCAGCCAAGGATACCTTAGTGGGTTGCTATTTCCTAATTCAGGGGTCTTCCCAACCCAGGGAGGGAACCCACATCTCTTGAGTCTCCTGCATTGACAGGCAGATTCTTTACCATTGTGCCACCTGGGATGCCTACATTGAGGAGACAAGTGGGAAACTAAAGCTGAGGCAGATCAGTTCCTGCCCTTACCAGGCTTCCTGTCTAACTGAGGAGAGAAACCACATGCACCCAGCAGGCACACACCGCCCGGGAAGTCTCAGCTGAGAGCCAGAAGAATGGTTCAAGGGGCAGATGTAAAGAGAAAAGAGGGTCAGCGATTCTAACCCACACCATCCCCTCCCCACCCTGTCCCCAGCATAAGGACAACGCGGGGGCTGTGATGTGGGAGACACAGACCAGCTCTCCAGGTCTGGTCTGAAACGTGAGTTCTAGGTGGGACCTGAAGAAGCAAAGACTGCCATCCCTGGGAAAGGTGGTGGGGAGCCCTAGGCCAGGAAGTGGGAGCTGGTGCCCGTCCCTACACTACCTCTGGATCTCTGTGTGGAGTTCTAGGTCCCTGCCATTTCCCAGTCCCAGTTTCCTCATCTGACCCTGGGGAGCTAAGCTGGTTTAGCTCTGAGGGAGACTCCCATCAGCTGAGCTTCTGGCCTCAGTTTCTCTTGCCCACAAAGGGGACAATAGTCCTGTCCATCCTTGGGAGAGCCCCCCAATCAAGGGATTGTTTTTTTCCTTCAGCTACTGCCAACAGAAGATGAAGAAGCCCCAGGAGTTTGAGCAGAAGCGAGGGGACAGGCAATGATTGACTGTCCAAGGCAACAGGCCTGAAGCAAGTGCTTTCTGCCAACCCAGCACCTCACTTTTACCTCTCCCCAACTCCCACCCCACTGCACCCCAGACTATTTTTGCTAGTTCCCAGAATTCCATGCTTCCCGCTTCCTACTCAGCCCTATGGTTTCTCCAGGGTTGATTTAGGAATGGAGGATGGCAGCCATCTTGTCAGGGAGTAGCAACACCTTCTTTCTCGGGTCTACGCCGCCAATCTTCAAACTGAGGGTGTACTTCCCATCTGGTAGGGACCCATCCTAGTACGCCCTCAGAGAACAATCTGGCTGTGCCATCTATAAGCAGATTTCACTCACACAACATACCCTCCTGTACCCTGAAGGCCTCCAGAGAACTCACCACCCCAGTGAGAGCGTGGACAGGAGTGAGGTTAGCCCCCATCACATACCTGCCACGTGCCCTTCTCAGACCTCCGGGGAGGTGAGGCCAGCGGGGGTTCGGCGCCACCTGGTGGCCATAAGCGGCGCTACACGCCATCAGCCTGTCCACGCCTTTTCTTGTACCCCACCCGCCCCCGCAACACAGGCACACAGAGCTGATCCCAAACCCTCCTCTGGGGCCCCAGTCCACTTGCTCACCACTCCTACCGGCCACAGTCCTGAGGAGGCAGACGGAGACCCTGAGCTCCTGAATCTCCTTCCTCTATCCCAGAGACAGAGTCCTTGAAGAGGAGTCAGGCTCACATCCCAACCTTGGCTGATTACTTAACCTCCTGGACTTCACCTTTCTAGTCCGCAGAATGAGACAATAGTGTCTACGCCCAGAATCGTGGAGTTTCCTGTAAAATGAAACCACTAACTTGGGAGGGCAGGGCAGTTACCAGAAACCCTGGGGAGCCTAGGCTTGTATCCTCCAACCGGGTGAGGGCTGCCCGCAGGCTCTGCAGAAGCAGGTTCCTCCTCCCGCCCCTCCTCCGGCCCCCACCCCTGGCAGCCCCCAAACAGCTGCCCCGGCCACCTTCCCCGGGGACTCACCTCCTGCCAGAGGCTCCACCCGACACCTGGTGGCCCCGGAGGATGGCGCCTGAGCAGCTGCCCAGGGCTGTTCAAGAGCAGGTTCCTTTTCCAGGGCACTTGCCAATCCGGCCTCCGCCCCCATCCAATCGAGCACAAGTTCTGTGAGTTCAAAGCGTCTTGAACTCCTTCTCCTTCGCCCAGCCTAGGCCACTGAGCATCCACTTTAGGATGCTGCTGCTTCTGCTGCTGCTGCTAAGTCGCTTCAGTCATGTCCGACTCTGTGCGACAGGAGCCCACCAGGATGGTCCCTTCCCAACCGCTCTCCTGCAGTCCTTGCTTCGCTTTCCTGCAGGACCTTCTAAAATGCACGCCTGAGCCCCCATTCCTTCATGCCCACAAAGTCAAGCCGAACTCCGAACTCCAAGTCTGGCATTCATGGCCCTCCCTGATCTGACCTTAGCTCTCTCCATTCTCATATGTCAGCCACTCTCCTTCTCCGAGCAGCAGTGTTTGTAGGAGCAGTTCCTATTCCCAGGAGTGCCTTGCCCCCTTTGCCCGCAGGAAAACCCCTGCTCATCTTCCAGACCTCGCTGTGGTTTTCTCAGGCCCCTGCTTGGGGCCATAGGTTTCATGGCCTGTGTCTCCCCTGCCAAGCTGTTAGACCCTCCAGACCAGGGTCGAGGATGAATTTAGCTCTGGGCCTTAGCATAGGGTCCTGCAGTGCAGGAGAAAATATCTGAGTTGTTTAATTTGGAGGCAAGGAGGGATGTGTCACAGCATGGGCCTTGAACAGAATTAAATGTCGAGGGAGAGCAGCCGCAGGGGGAAGGGGAGGAAGGCTCAGGGGTGGGTACCTAGGTTGTGCTTCCACTTTACCCAAAGGCCTGTGGAAGAGGACACACACACACACTCAGGGTCGAGGATCATAGGCACCTGTGTTAGCCCACACCAACACTGGTGTCAGCTGGGCACAATTAGAGTAATCCTCTTCTGTCCGCCTGGAGCCAGCAAATGACTCACCCCCACCTGGGGGCCCACTGACCGGCCTGGGATCTGTGTTGTGAGAGGACAGACTGAGGGAGCCCAAAGCAGGGGCTGAGCAGGGCAGGGGCCTGGACCCCACAGCCCCAAGGGCAGGCTAGAAGCCCTGAGACCGTTCAGCCCAGAGAAACAGACTCCAAACCAGAACAAACTGCCAGGTATGAGAGGCAGACAAGCTCTATGGTCCCGGACACCCTGAGGTGTTAACCGGCAAGGCTGGTACCCTGAGGCCATTGTGGGCAAACACAGGATGGCTCGGTCCATCGCCTCCCAGCCCTCCCCCACCAGGAGAGGAGATCCCAGTGCCCAGCCCCTTAACATGCCAACCTTTACTGATCTTTACTGATCTGGGAGAAATGAAGGAGAGAAGATGGGAGGGTTCAAGGCAAGGTGGGTGTGGGGTCTGGAGACTGCCAATCAGAGCTTCCTCCTGGTCACCAGTCTGGAGTCTGCCCCTCTGTCTGTGGAGACACAAACACTCTCACAGCCAGGACAGCAGGGGATCAACCCCACAGACACAACCCAGGGCTGTATTTGATACACAGTCAGACTCAGGGCTACCCATTTGGCTGGATTTACAGGGACACAGACAGGTATCCCTGTGGCTAGGAGAGGGTTCAGAGGCTCAGGCCTTGGCTGTAAGGGCACGCATGACTAAGGTAGACCAGCAGACAGAGGGTCTAGAAGTAGTGCCAGGTCACCTCCTCCAGGCAGCCTCCTTGATTGCTTCAGTCTCTCATTTCTCCATTTCCAGTCCACGAATGACTGCCTCATGCTCAGTCCTCTCTGTATGTGCCATCTCCACCTCAGCACCCAAGATGTGGCACAGGACTGGTCTGGGGGTACCCCGACAGGTCCAGCACCCCCCCAGAAGAAGGCATAGGCAGCAGGGATGGGAGTTCCAGTAGCCTGGGAGTTCTTAAAGGCATTTGCCTCCCCCGATGCTGTTTCCCCACCACCACCAACCTCATGCACAAAGTCTGCAGACAGCCCCGTGGGGGAGGATTGGTAGAAAGAAATAGATTTATTCTCATGTACAAAGCGGTCAGCCCACGGGACCATATACAACAGTTGCACAGAGTCCTAGAAAAAACGCATCTCTCTAAAGGCAACTCAGAATAGGTAAGGCAGGTGGCCCCCCTCCCCCCATCCCACAACACATACAGAACAAAACAGAGAAAGGAGAAGCCAGTGGCTAGGATGACCCCAGAGGCCCGGCCCTAGGGGGTCTCCCAAGCCCTGGGGCACGGGTGGATATGGCCTTGAAGAGGAGAGAGGCCCTGCCAGGCTGAGGCCAGGTCCCCCTCTGGCTGCAGGATCAGGGAAGGGGCTCCGGCTAAGGGGGTATACTCAGGGGGCCACTGAGGGACTCAGTGTTAGCTCTGTGCCCAAGGGGGCCAGGGACCCTCGGTGGCCTCTCCTGGGACTCCACAGAACTATGGGGACTTGGATCTAAAAGGGGTCTTAGAGGATGGATTGTCTCACCCTCCTGTTTCACAGAGAGGGGAAGGGACTTGCCCAGGGTCACACAGCCAGGAGGAAGCATGGCTGACCCATGCTCGGCCTGCCTCCCAGCCCAGGGATCCTTCCTTCTCGCTGTTCTTATCCTGCTCTCTTCCTGAGCCCCCTCTCCCCAGAGCACTGTGCTGGCCCCCTGGCAGCTTCCTCCTGGGACCCCTATCTCCCCAGGTCCTGGTCCCCACCACAAGTACGAAGGCAGTCCTCAGGGCCACAGGTGGCCCCATGGTTATTTCTAGTCCTCCAGCCAGGATGATAAATGTCTCTAAGACCCACCCTTTGCCCATTCAGATGTCTCACGTTCTTGCCTGAGGATCCTGGGAGGCAGTGAGGGTGCCCCAGAGGAAAGGGCACAGATCTGGTAGGGCAGGAATGGGGCCCAGAAGAAACCATCCGGCTGCCTCAGAGAAGGAGTAGCCTGGCGGGGGGGCGAGGGGGGACTTGCCAAGGTGCGGTCAGAGGTGCAGAGCAGGGCCCACTGCTCACTGGTTACCCCTGTGCTCTCAGAGGACAAATGACAAAGTCTCAGTGAGGCTGGAAGTCTTCCATTATACAGACGAGAAAGCTGAGGCCCGGGAAGGTCAGACCTCGCCCGGGGTCACGTGGGAAGTCCTGGCCTAGAATCCAGGACCCCTGGCTCTGGTCCCAGGGCGTGTGGCCAGGCCCGTGGAGGGTTGTGGGAGGAGGCCTGGGCAGGGAGGGGTCCCAGGAGGGACTCATTCGGCATCAAGGCTGCAACAGCCATTGATAGGAGCCCTAGCGCCACCCAGGTCAGGCACCTCATACTCCTCATCCAGGAAGTCCAGTGAGTTGTTGCTCGGGAGGCCTCGGATGGTGAACTTGTGTGACACCTTGGTCCAGTGCTCACGATTAGAGGCCACGCGTTCGTACAACTCTGCCGCCTTGGGGAATAGGTCTTGCAGCAGCCTGGGGGTAGATGGGGGCAGGTTTAGAGGTCAGAAGTCAGACTGTAAGCAGCAAGAAACATTAGGGCTGGACCACAGGAAGAACTTCCATAAGAGCATGAGGCATAGGATTGGAAGCTCAAGGAGAGCTTGACCACCTCTTTCCATAAAGGACCAAGGATGACGCCAATGGCCCATTCAGGGGCAAAGCAAGAGACGGCTGTGCTCAGAAACAAGGAGTGGATGAGGTGGAGTGGGCCAGGCCAGCGCAGCGCTTGTGTCTGCTGTGATGGCCACAGCGAGCCCCGTCCCACTCCCATACCATCATCCCTGGGCAGCATCTCCAGCAGGCCCCCTGAGCTCACTCACTTGTAGATGGGCATTGCGATGTGCTCCATGAAGCTGATCTGCAGCTCGGGGATGTAGGCCTTCTCACGGTCCATCATCTCCATCGGCCTGTTGCCCATGGCCTTCTCCTGCAGGCATCAAGTCGTCAGGCCTGTCTGGCCCACTCTATGCTCCAGAAACATCTGGATCAGGCTAACCCAGCCCCTCCTAGGCCCAGGCTAGGAACCCTCCCCCAACCTGGGCACCCTGAGGTCACACCCCACATACCAAGTCTCCCTGGGAGAAGAACTCTTTGTAGATCAGCTCCTGAAAGGTCAACATTCTCATTACCGCCTGTGAGTGCGATCCACCCGCCCACGCTCCTCCATAGCCCATTCCCAAGGGGGCAAACTGCGGCACTGGGACCTCAGGACCTGTCCTCACCATCCCTGGCCTGGGAGGAGGACGGTGGCTGGGTTCTGGCCCACCTTCCACCAGCCACTCACTGGTTTGCTGGGTGACCCCTCAGTGAGTCCATGCTCCTCTCTGAATCTCTCCACTGTCACCTGAGGTGGTCTAGGCTTCTATCTCCCCCACAGGCTGAGCTCAGCACTAGGAGGGCGTGCAGGCTGCAGGAGCCACACAGAGCCAGGCAGGGTGTACAGTCTATGCCTTCCCGAGAAGGAGTGGCACTTACCGCAATCTTCCTTGTGGTCTTCCAGCCCTTGGTCTGGTCGGAGAGGTCACAGGAGGTCATAAGGAGGCAGAGAAGGAGACTGTGGTGCTGCTTGTTGGTTCGATCATAGCCCACTGTTGGGGAGAGAACAGGGTCAAGGAGAGGGACCCAGCATCCTGGGCCCTGGGATGGGTCCCTGGGCCCATCCCAAAGTGGCACAGGGAATTCAGCACTCTGGATGGGAGCCAGGGATGCAGAGCTGGGTCTGCCTGGTGGGCTGATGTTGGAAGGGATGGGTCTGAACCCTGGGGATGCTCTCCAGGTGAGTCCCCCTCTTGGTGGTCCCACCCCAATCTTGAGACCCAGGCTAAAGGCAGGCACCTTCGGCCATCTTTTGGAGGTCTTTGAAGATGCGGAGGTGGTGGGCCAGGTCTGTGGCCAAGATGATGTCCCGCATCAGGTCCAGCATGCGCTGATAGTCCTGGGTGAGGGTGGGGGTACAGGGTCAAGGCCCAGGCACCCCATCCCCTCCTCCCCTAAACCTCAGGAACCTCCACCCCTTGGCTCCACCTCGTCTCCCATCTCAGGCCAGCTCCCAGCTCCCACTCCCTGCCCCCCACCCCCAGCCCCATCACCTTCCGGGAGAAATGGTCAAAGATGTTGCAGCCGTGGGTGTTGAGGATGGCAATGGCCTGAGCGAAGTGGTGCCTCTGTAGGGACAGGTGTGATAGGGGCCCAGCTGGGGTGGGGGGGGCTCCTCCTCACTGACCCCAAGGGAGGAAGCAAGCCCAGCCCAGCCCTGGCCCCCAAACTGAGCAGAGCAGGCAGAACTGGGGAGTCGGGGGTGGGGGGCCAGTTCCCTTTCTGGGCTTTGCTTCAACCCTCCATGTGACCCTGGGCAAGTCCCTGGCCATGTCTGAGCCTCAGATTCCTCCGCTGTCAGTCGGACGGACACGACAAGGTGAGCTCTGAGGGCCTCTCAAGCTGGAATGATTCTGAAATGATCCCTTGGAGTCTTCGACACTAATTCATGCAAGAAACATTTGTGTGCTGACAGGGAAGGGCAGTGATGAGGCGAGGGCAAGACCCCTGTCTTCTGACACTGAAGGGCTGTCACTCAGAGGAGGAGCCGACTCAGCCCAGGGCGTGGAGAGCAGGAGCCAGGCTGCCACCAGGCCTCCCAGGAGGAAATGAGCCCCTTGTCTCTGGGGGCATGCAAGCAGGAGCAGCTCCAGAGGGGTGTTGTTGGGGGGCAGGGTGGGGCAAGGCAACCTTGAAAGTTGGGTTCCCATTCATGCCAAGCCCTGTGCCAGATGCAGGGAACTCAGAGATGTCTCCGATTTTGTTTCTGCCCCCACCAGCTCCCACTGGGGGTGGACAGACACAAATCAAACAGTCTCAGGCAAAGCTGAGCATGACGGGACAAGGAGCCCACGCCAGGCTGGGAGCGGAGAGGGTTTCACAGGGTGTCCTTAGACATGCAAAGAGAAACAGGCTAACTATAAGGCCTCCCTGGGCAAACCTGGGCTTGGGCAGAACCTGTAGCCTGACTGGCACCCCCAGCTGCATGGGTACCCTTCCAAGCTCATCGGGAACAAGAGTCAGACATGCCCTGGGGGCACTGCAGCTCTCCCTGTCTGGGTGGGAAGCAGGGCTTGGCATGGGGAGGAGCCAGGCCACAGTCTAGTTTCGTATTAATAAGTCATTGGCCTTAAGGGGACAATGGGGATGGGGATACTGGGCAGAATGGTGGTACCTCCATGACAGAGCCTTCCGAGCTGTAGAGTGCGGCCAGCACAGATTTCTGGAAAAACCAAAGAAAACTCCATCACTCCTGACATCCAGAAGCATATTAGGCTCAGAACAGCCCAGCTCCTCCCACCCCGTCAGCACTCCTGCATGTCCCATAGCCTGGGAGAGCCTCCTCCTGTCTCTCAACTGGCTCCTGGTCTCACGAGCTCCCACCACCCCTCAGGCTGGAGGGGTGAGGCTCCCAGACACCCCAGGGAGGGTGCCCACTCTGAGGAGGGCAGGGTCTCACCGAGGCCACCTGGAAGGAGTTGTTTGTGCCTCTGTGATCCAGGTCGTGACACATGCAGGAAATAAACAAGGCAAAGATCTCCATGTCCCTGGTTGGGAGGAGACAGAGGACAAGGAGGTGAGCCACAGCTCCCTCCCCACAGGAGGGCCAGCTGGAGGAGATGGCCATGAGAAGGGGAACTGCTCCGCAGTCAGTGACTGAGCTCTTGACTGCACATGTCCGGGAACCACCTGCACAGGGGCTCAGGAACTTGGGTCCCCTTCTTGGAAAGAGGCCTTGTACCTTTCGCACTGGGCTGTTAGGATCCCGTGAGGCAGTGCGTGAAAAGTCTGCCACACAGGAGGTGTGGTTCTGTTCCCAGGAAGGGGACCCCAGCAGCTGCCAGATGGGGGCAAGGGCAGCCACTCACTCGAGGTAGTTGGTGAGCTCCAGGTTCTTGTAGAGCAGGTAGCAGAAGTGGGAGACAGAAAAGGCGTGCATCCAGTTGTGGTAGGGGGGATCCCGGTAGCCCTTCTTCACCATCAAACAGAACCTAGGGGTGGGGAGAGGGCAGCACAGGGGCCTCAGGCTCTCCTCCTCCAGCAAGCCCTCCAGGCTCTGTCCTGCCCAATTCCTTCCCTTTCCTCAAGGTCCCAGTGTCTGTGAATTGCCTCTCACTGGTGGATCCTCCCACCCTTACAAGTCTGGGCCTCCCCTAGTCATCCTCAGAGGTCCTTCCCAGAGCACACAGAGCAATGGATGTGAGTAGAGGACAGAGGGAGGCAGACAGGGCTGCCGGCACACGGAGGGGAGGGCTGGGGTACACACCGGGCCAGTGTCGGACAGTCAATTTTGTAGTTATTGATGAAATTCATGTCCTGCAGCATGCTCAAGATGGCCTGGAGAGAGCAGAAGGAGGCATCAGAGAGACTGTAAGTTCCAAGATGCACCCCACTCCCCATACCGTGGCCCTTCTTGAAGCCTCCAAAATTTTGGAGCCTTAGAACTTTAGATCTAAACTTGAAAACCAAAAAATGGTACAGCCAAGCATTCTTGGAGCCATGAACTTAGAAATAGGAGATCTAAGAACTCTTGGAACCAAGCTCACACAAAGTCTTAGAAAAGCAGCGAGGGAGATGCCAATCCTGAGGCCATCATTGGTCCCAGTCCAGCCCCTGGGCAGGCCCTGGGGCCCATGCTGGCAGACTGCATCCCCTCCTCCATCTCTTGATGACTCTGTCTTGCCAGGAATTTCCTATGTACATCTAACTTCAATCTCTGGCTGTCCATCCTCCATAGTCAAGGGGGGTGAGCCAGCTCACCATGGAAGTGTCATCCTCGGGAAGAGAGCGAGGAGTGTAGGTGAAACTGGCAAAATTGGAGTCAATGGCAGCCACAGGCTGGATCCCGTCGTGGAGAAGTTTGGTGTATTCATCATCAGAGACCTGAAGGAGACCAGCCAGGGCATGAGAAGATAGCCTCTACCCCATCCAATGTCTTCAACCTCAAACGCCCACAGTGGCAGGGACCTCCCACTCGAATGCACCTCAGTTGGGCCTTCCATGGGTTTTCACTGGGCGGGAGAACACCATCCTCCCCTCGCCATCCTGCAGCCAACCTACTGTCCTCCGTGCCTGGGCCCACCCTCATCTGTAACCGCCTCTTGTTAAAGGCAGAGAACACCTCTTCTTTACACCATGGTGGCCTTCCACAGACAATAACAAAGATTCCTTCTTTGAGGAGGACCATCCCAGAGCCAATCCTTCCTGCTACAGTTTTGACCCCAGCCACAAAGTCTGGGACCTTTTGGTTTGGACATAGAGGAGAGGAAATGTTCAAGTGAACAATAACCATCACATACTCTGAACTAAAGTTCCAGACAACTTGTCTTGCACAGGGTCTGGGAATGGGACTGCCTCGGACTGCAGGACCACTGTACCTAAGGGAGCTGAGGGAGGACCCTGAGCGGGCTTCCCAGCTGTCAGCAGTTCCCAGGATGGGAATTATCCCTGGACATGGGGAGCACCTGGCTGAACCATGCTCTCTGCTGGGCTGAGTCTTGCTGCCGGTTTTGGGGCTAAACCAGAAATTGCTTTGAAGAGAGGCTGCCCCGAAGGAGAGCAGGAGAGCAAAAGGCCAGGCACTGCTCTTATCTTCAAGAGAGGGTGATCAGAAAGCCCAGCCTGATCCTGGGCACCAGAGGATTCATGGAGCTAGGGGAGGAACAGGGGGACTAGGGGGGACCCTGGGGCCCTGAGAAAGAGGGTAGAAGCTCTGTGCAGGCTCACCTTCATGTGGTACATCATCATCTCATTGGCAAGGTGGCTGCGATACTGCGCCTCATTCACTTTCTTGTATAGGAGGGACTTGTGGGGGAGAGAGGGAAAGATAGGGCTCAAGCAAGGTGGCTGTGAAATACCCAGGACCGGGACAAAGGGATCGGATAGAACCTCCCCCAACTCCTGTCCCAGGCTGGGCCCAGTCTGAGCCTTCAAGCTCCAGCCCAGAGTAGGGACCCCTCTCCAACTTTCATCTAGACCTGCCCTCCCCTCCTCCCCAGGGCCTCTTAGCACTTGATCTAGCACTTTGCACGCTCTCCTGATCCTGCCCCAGCTTCAGTGATGGAGCCTGAGGCCCCTAATGGAGAAAGAGAAGCAAGGAGGGGGAACAGCGTTAGGGATCTAGGGGCTGGATTCCCGGGTCAGAGCTGCCAGCTGTGGACAATGAGACCCAACACATCCCCACAAGAAGCTAAACAGGGGCTCGGGTTGAGGTTGCTTTCGGAAAAGGGGGAAATAAAACAGATCTCCCACAGTCCTAGGAGGCTAACTGAACAGGATTGGAAATAGTATTCCTAATTTTCTGATGCGAAACTAAGGCCAGAAGTGACCAGTAGGTACTGAAGACTGCACAGCAACCCAGCAGCAGGGCTCTGAGCCCCAGGGGTGGGACAAACCCATCTGGATAGAGCAAGGAGAGCCAGTGTGGAGAGGAGAACAGAGGGTGCTGCATGGGCCTGCCCCTGTCCCGCTCACATGCGCAATGCTGATGCCGCAGTAGATGGAGAAGGCTGTAGCCAGGTCCTCATCAAACTTGCTGAACCATGGTCCGTTGATCTTGTTCACCAGCTCGGCCACACCGATGACCTCTGGGGACCAAAGAGGAGCTAGGATGAGCCAGTGGACGTGTCCGACAATCTGTCCTCCCAGGGTATCCTCAAGGGACATCACATGCTTGGGAAACCCCATCCCTTCGGCCTGGGGATGCTAGGGTGGTAGAGATGGCTTGGGGACCTTCTGCTCGGCTCTGCCCCATCTTCTCAGGCCCCGCCCCAGCCCTCTTCTGAAGCCACCACAACCCGCACCCTGGTTCTCGTTCTTGATGGGGAAGCAGAGGATGTTGCGCGTCCGGAAGCCAGTGCTGTCATCCACGCCTCGGTAGAAAAGCGGATGTGCGTAAGCATCTGGGATGTTCAGGATCTGGCCGGTGGTTGCCACGTGACCCGCGATGCCCTGGTCAGCGGGGATGCGGATCTCATAGCTCTGCCGGGGCAGGGATGGAGTTGAGAGGAGGATTGGTGGCCGGTCACAGAGTGAAAAATCAAATGTAGGGCCTGCTCCCCTGCGGACTCCCGGACCCCACGACCATGGTCACACCCTCCCTCCACGCAGCCCTGCCTCACCTCATCTTCCACCACGCCCCCATCGAACACCTTGGCTACCAGCTCGTTCTGATCCAGCAGGAACACAGAGCAGCTGTGGAGAGATGGCGTTGGTCCACAGAGCCCTGACACCCCTCTGTAACCACCCCTCAAATCTCAGGACTTGAGGTGAAGCCTAGATTTCTGAGGCCTGGAGGGAGTGACCTATGGTGAGACTCTCCTCAGGGCTAGCTAACTCCAGACATTAGTTCAGATGGATAATTTTTTTTTTTTGCTAGCACCTACCATGTACCAGACACTGTATTAACAGCTGAGGACCCAAGGCCTGCAAAGCAAGCAGTGGCCCTGCTGTCATTGGATGTTACAATCTAGTGAGGGACACAAGCATGAAATAAAAAATCATGCAAGATGTGGGTCCCACAAGAAGGCAGTGGAGGGGACATCCCTGGTGGTTCAGTGGTTAAGACAACATGCTTCCTATGTAGGGAGCATGGGTTCAGTCCCTGCTTGGGGAACTAAGATCCACATGCTGTGCAAGCCAAATAAATTAAGATGACAACAGAGGGGGGGAAAGAGGGGAGGAAAAGAAAGGTGACAACTGAGGGCCAGGGCCCCTCTCTCTGTCCCCACTTCTGGGTGGATTCACTCACATCTCAGCATTGCTGAGGTTTCTAGCCTCTGTGATGATCTCCTGGAGCAGCACGGAGACATCATCTGTGGGAGGGAGAGGCATGGGGACAGTGGTGAGACCAGGCTGGAGTGCTGAGGCCAAGCCTGCCTGCCTCCACTCCTCGAAACACCAGTCCCCCGACTCCCACCCCACAGCCAGGCATGGAGGAGGGAAGTGTACTCACCCAGGTGAGTGAAGAGGTTCTTTGCCACTTGGAGAAGAGCCTGGAATGGAGAAAAAAGAGATCACAGGGAATCAGGTTGCAGGGGTTCACCCTCTAGCCGCCTGCCTCCGTCAGCCCAAGGATCTTCTCAATCTTTCCCTAGGGCTAGCAGGACAGGCTGGAGAGTCTGGCCTGTCTGGGAGAGTCTGAGAGACTCTAACTCTAGACTGGGAGAGTCTAACTGTAGACTCTAACTCTAGACTGGGAGAGTCTAACTGTATCATTTGGCTCTAAGGGAAGGAGTGGGAGTTCTAGCCCCAGGAAGGGTGAGCAGGAAACCTGAATGTCACATGTGTGGTCCCCTCAGACTCTACCATCCAGATGTTGTTGTGATGCCCAATCCGAACACTAGAGGGCGACCGCATACTGGGCCTGCAGCCAGAGAGGCGGTCCTGAGGCGCTCCAATCCTCCCTCTTTAAGAGACTTCCAGGGGCCTAGGCGGTCTCCCCACCACTGGCCCCCAAACCCATGGGCTTTTCCCTCGTGGATGACTCTCTGGGGCTGAGAGCTGGCGGAATTGGTCCCTGAGAGCAGTCAAGGCAGGCCACGCACCTGGCACTCACACTTGAGCTTCTGCTCCTTCTGGAAGGCCAGGGTGCTGGTGAGCACCGTGCTGGTGTAGTGGAAGCAGTGCTGGATCACATGCTCGTCCTGGTCTGTGAATCTGCCAGGGTGGGTGGCGGGGGTCACCGGAGAGGGACAGACCACAGACTGCTCTCCCCATTCCGCCTCACTTCCGTCCTTCCAGGAAGCCCACCCAGAAACCCACCAGCTCACCACACCCTCCTCTGCTGGGGCCGCTCACCACCCTGGTGGCTTGGGCCAGCTTCTGCCTCAGACTGGGGAGGCTTCTGGGGAGTGGGCTCTAATCTTCCTCTGTCCCAAATGTGTTTTCCTTCTCAGACTATTGCTTCTCAAAGCCAGAAACTTCTCAAAGTCTCCCTCCTCTGACTTCAGATTTACCCAGGCTGAGGCTGTTTTCCCCCTCAGACTGGAGACTCGCCCAGCCGCGGGCTGTATGTTCGCCTGCCCCTCTCCTCCAACGTCAGGGAGGGGTGGTGGCACCGCCCTGTCTCATCCAGCTCCTACACTGTCCTACCTTCCCTGGAACCTTCAGGCCCCAATTTGGTGCCTCCACAAGTCCTGAGGTGGTTGTGGGCAGGGCAGTGCCCATATCACATTCACGGAGCTAGCTGGCATCTGACAAGATTGGCCTGAAATCCTGAGGAAGTCATTCAATCCGGCCACCCAATGATTTGTCAGCAGGGAGCTTTGTGGGACGTAGGCTGGGGCGGGACCTGGGCTGTGGACATGGGTAAGCCTCTCTGGATGGGGATCAAGGGGAGATGGAGTATTCCTCAGAGACTCTGATCATTTCTCAGCCCCCAGATTTCCCTGCCAAGACCCCTCCCCATTTGGGGGCTGCCTGCAGTGCTCCTCTCAGCTGGGGAGCTTGCCACTCATGCTTGCCATCCAGTGATTCGGGTCTAGACCCCAATCCCCACCGCGCTGTGTCTGTCTCCCTACCTTCCTTCCCACTGCATTTGAGACCCCTTCATCTGGTCCCACCCACCTCTCTCCCCTCTTCTATGGGCGTCTCAGCCTCAGCCACAGTAAGATGCTCATCATTCTGAGAAAACCTCAGGCTCTTTCACACCTTCATGCTTTTTCTCACACTGTTCGCTCTGCCTAGAATACCTTTTCCACCGTCCCCGCTCTGTGCCCTAAAAATAAACATCGAGTCTTGAAGCCAGTCTTGAACCCTGACAGTAACAACCCCTGTCAAATGCAGAGTCTGGTACAGGGGAGATGTTTGCAAAGTGTTTGCTGAAGTCTTAAATGTACCTCTTCCCCTGCCACCAGCCTCATCGCAGTCCCCAATGAAGGGATTCTGGAGTCCCTGTTCTCAGGGTTCCAGACTGCTTCTCTACAGTGCCTGCTCTGAGCTGAGCACCACCTTGGCTCATGCAATTATTCAGCACTCACTCCCTGAAAGATGTGGAACCTAGAGGTGACCTTGTCTCTGCCCTGAGCCTCAAAGCTGTCACCCAGCCCCCATCTCGTTTCCCTTCTGATATTTCCTCTCCTCCAGGTCCAGGACTATCTCAGAACCCAGGCCGGCAGCCAGAGGCCACAACCCTTGCTGGACCTCCTACTCTGCACTCTCCCTCCCCAAAAGCCTACCCAAGGCCATCCAGCCAGCACAGGGTCAGACACACTAGATGCACTATTCAAAGTGTGCTTACTGAGTGGCACAAATACCCCCACACTGGGATGCTCACCAGTTCCCCATGACACAGACCCCCATCTGCCCTGCCTCAATGAGTTCTGCCTTGTCCCTGTCTTCATTTCCCCAGGTCTCCGTGCTGGCAGGTCCTTCTACTCAGACCCCTGACTCCCAGATCTCTGCTCCACCCCTGCAGACACTGTCCCTGGGCTTCTGACACCTCTCTAGTCCCAACATCTCCAGTCTCCACTTCCTGCAGGAGCTCCGAGGCCTCAAACCCAGCCTGCCAATTTGTGCCCCAGGGGCCAAGCATCTTGTCAGCATCCCTCTGCATCCTGGAATCAGAATGCAACCCTTCACCTGCCCACTACTCCCTACTGCTGGGCATGCTGGACCAAGTGTGGCAGCATTCACATCCTGAATATGCCCCCAGGACAGATGTGGCTAATCACAGCACTGTTTCTCACTAAACTAATACAATGCTTCAGGCAGCAATTAATGAGTTGGTGTAGGACATGAAATCTGTGATACCACGTCTATACCCCAAATCTGACCTCAGTTTTTGAGACATACTTCCTGACTAAGCCTGTGTACCTGACTCTGTGTCCTGCCCACCCTTCTGTTTCACATGATTCTTACAGCTGCCCTATCAATGCCTCTGAAGAGCCTCAGCTCAGCCCAACCCCCATGCCTATTCCCTTGAGCCACTATCCACAATGTCATTGATGCTCTGGGTCCCAGAGAGTTTACCCATCTTAGAGCACATTGCTCCTCCATCTGTTACCAGCAGAAATACTAATACAGGGATGGCAAGTTGGGGGAAGACCAGTACCAAAACATGCATAATCCAAACTGTAGGAAGTGGCAACAAGAAGGGGAACTTGTTTGGACCTCAGCATGATTTTACAAAGTCAAATGGAGCAGCAATAAGGGTCTATTGCTCCCATAATCTCAATCTCTTGCACAGACAAACCATTCAACCCACCACTGCTAGAATAGGACCCCCTGCCCAGTATCCTTCCTACACTGTTACCCGAGTCAGCCCTGCCCAGCCTCTCAGCTCCATCTCCTGGCCCACATCCCTCCACCCAGACTCACAAGTCTCCTCCGAGCTTGTTGAAGGCGCAGGCCAAGGCCACAACCTGGTCAGTGGCCCGGCTGATGACAGGGACACACAGCATGGCCTGAACCTCACAGCCCAACATGCTTTGCAGCTGTTGCACATCCTCCTGCAAAGGAGAAGCAAGAGGGGAGGCAAGTCAGGGCAGGGAAGGAAGAACATGCTTCCCTCCCCTGCCCTCCACCACACTCTGCAACAGGAGGGTCTGAAGGGCTCAGGCAGGGTGGGAAGTGCTATGACACAGGGTGGGCTAGGAAAAAGTTCCCGGGTCTTGTCTCGCCTATTCCTAGGTTGCCCAGGCCCAGAGAACCTGGCCCTGGGGACTGGGCAGAGGGCTATCCCCTTGTCTCCTCCCCTGGTCCAGCCAGGCCATGGCTTACGGAGGTGAGATCTTTCAGCTGGATAGACTTCTTGTCTTCCACCACTTGGCCCAGGCGTCCTGTGGTCAACTGAGGGAGTGAGGAGAGCCAGTCAGGGCCCAACTCTTCCCAAGATCAGGCTATGTCAGATCTCTCCCCTCATCAAGTCTGGAAGTTTCAACTACCTCTTCAGTCAGTCCAAATCGTGGATGGAGTAAACACTGAGGAGTGAGGAAGGGGTTGGGGGTTGGGGGAGTAGGCTCTTGACCAGAATCCCCTATGGAGGACTTAAGGGTCTTTCCTAACTAGGAGAGAAAAAAGCAGAATCCAAGGATTCTCACTGATCCTAACAGATTCTAAGAGAGCCAAGCCCAGAGATACTCCAACAGAAGTGACCTGGCCCCAAGTAAACCTTTCTGTAGATTGTGAGTGATTTCTCCTAAGGGATCCTGATTATGAGAGGTTGTGATCTCTCATAACGTTTCTAAGTAGATCTGAAGGTCCAGACAATTCCATCAGATTCCAAAAGATTCTAGTAGACTCCAGTCTCACTGGGCAGATCCCAGGAGTGCCTGGTCTGCTTTAACTGCTTCTGCAGACTCCAACACAGAGGACAGACGCAGGACTCACCGGAAAGCTGATCTCTTCCTCCAGTACTTTATCTCCAATGACCTGATGGGCAGAACGACGTGAACTGGTTAAAGGACAGGCAAAGTTTTTCCTCTCAGAGACCCAGGTTCCTCGCCCTGCCCCACAGTGGGCCCTCACCTTACAGGAGAGCTGGAGATTGTCCTCGGATACAAGTAGGAGGCAGCAGCGGGATGCCTGGGTCTCCTGCTGCAGCTGAGAGGGAGGGACACAGCGAGGGGCTGACCTCGCATCTGGGAGATCCCCACTCCCCACCCTCTGCCTTTCTGAGGCTCCGCAGGTAGGTGGAGAAGAGAGGAGGGGCAGGACATCTGAATCTGTACTGAGATGGAGGGCTCAAGAGGACTTCCGTCCCGGGAGGAACACAATAGAGGACTACAGGGACTTACATATTGGAGGACTTTAAGCTGCAGGGAAGAGGCGTCCAGGTCGTAGAGCTCCCCTGCAATGGCGGGGCAGGAGTCAGGCAGAGGGCCCACAGATTTCCCCCAAGGGTGTGCGCCCTCCAATTCCACCCCCCACCCAGTTCAGGATCTCCTCTTCAGTTGCGGCCCCAGCCAGCCCCCGGCCGCGCCCCAGCCGCAGGCCCCGCCCACTCACGGCCCTTCCCACCCATGGCTCCGCCTTCACAGGTTCGCGCCGCGCCCCTCCCCGCCGCGGGCAGGTCCTCACCACAAAGCTGCAAGATCTTTCGGTCTTGGTCTGTGTACGCGACCCCATCCTTCTGGTCTCCCGCCGCCTCCTCCGGAGGATTCTGGGTCGCTTCCGGGGCCGCGCTGGACTCGCGCTGCTGCAAGGCCTGCACCCTTTTCAGGGCTACCAGGGTCTGGGGCGGGCGGAGCGGTCAGCAAGCCACACGCCCCACCTTTATCGCCCTCGCCACCTTTGAACCTCTAGCTTTGGTTTGAGCCGTTCTCTCTGCCTGCGGTGCCATAGCCCCCCACCCCCACACTCCCGTGGGCTCCCTCTTTCCCCGGAGCGTCCCTTGGTCCATGATCAGATAAGTACTGGGTTTGTCTCCACCCCTAGCCCCAAGACTCTTCCAAGGCAAGAACAGGGTCAGATTTCTGTCTCTAGAACCCATGGGGAGTCGTTGTCGTTGAGTTCTTGTTAAAGTCACAAAATCATATTCTCAGGGAAGAGCCTCAGTATCATTATGTAGATATTCCTTCCTCAGTTCAGTTGAGTCGCTCAGTCGTGTCCGACTCTTCCCCACCCCATGGACCACAGCATGCCAGGCCTCACTGTCCATCACCAACTCCCAGAGTTAACTCAAACTCATGTTCATTGAGTTGGTGGTGCCATCCAACCATCTCATCCTCTGTTGTTCCCTTCTCCTCCTGCCTTTAATCGTTCCCAGTATCGGGGTCTTTTCAAATAAGTCAGGTGGCAAAGTATTTGACTCGCCTTATATCACTAGTACCCTAAGTGGGTCAGTGCTATCCTTATCCTGATTCTCAGATGTAAAACTGAGGCTCAGAGAGCTTAAGTGACTTGCTCAAGGTCACACAGCCCAAAAGTGCAGCCCTGGAACCCAGCTCTGTCCATCTCCCTGGCCAGATCATCTTCCCCTAAGTTGTGATGAGGGCCTTCAGCAGCCCCCATCCTACCCCAGCCCCTACCCCCACTTACATGCTTCTCCACGGCTTGCAGGCTCCACTCCTCATGGTCACTCAGCTGACCACAGTGCACCTGGAGGGGAGGGAGAGGGGAACCAACTGTGACTTCCCCTAGCCTCTTGTCTCTACCAGAGCGCCCTCCCTATGCCTGGCACACAACTGTCCCCACCAACACATACACACTCCAGTCTGTGGCCTCAACGATAAGTGCATCCTCTGACCAAGCAGATGGCTGGGAAATCCCCTCCTCCAGGAAGCTTTCAAGGGCTAATCCAAAGAAGTGGAACTTTTCTGATCTCTGACTTTTTCAGCCACTGTCCCATCTATAGCACAAGCCAGGTATACAGTGAGGGACAGGGGGTGACCTTGGACACCCCCCCCCATCTCTCAGTCTATGGAGCTTTTCAGGCCCTGATGATAGAATCAGTATTATTAACTTCAGCCTCCCAGCTCCATCCTTTCTGAGTTGGGATTTGAGCCAACCCTAAGTCTGGGATAGGGAAAGAAGTCCACCATTTACAATACATATGTTGTGCCTAAAGAACTCAGGAGAATGGATGGGTAAATGAAGGAATGAATGAATGGAGTGACAAGGTACTTTGCCAACCTGTAAGTCAAGCTTCCATCTTTCAGACGGAAGGCCCAGAAAGGATGAGTGACTTGCCCAAGGTCACAGAGCAGAAAGTATCAGAGTTGGGATAGCACTGCCCATTTCCTCCCCTTCTCTGCCCACATCTTCCCCTCTCCAGATCCATCTTCATCACCCCAGCCCTTGTCCTGTCCCTCTCCAACTTCTCTGTGCCAGCCACTTGGAGTCCCCTCCGCCCATCTTTCATGCTCTGTGAAGTCTCTTCTCCCACCTCTGCTTGGGTGCTTGGTGAAGNCCTCCCCTTCTCTGCCCACATCTTCCCCTCTCCAGATCCATCTTCATCACCCCAGCCCTTGTCCTGTCCCTCTCCAACTTCTCTGTGCCAGCCACTTGGAGTCCCCTCCGCCCATCTTTCATGCTCTGTGAAGTCTCTTCTCCCACCTCTGCTTGGGTGCTTGGTGAAGAAAATGGTGGGGGCGGTGGTGTGCACTGCAGGCCCTGACAGCAAAGCTCCCCACCTGCGTCAGCAGCTTCCGGGCACCTACTCAGAGCTGCTCACCACCTGCGGGACTTCCCACAGTGCTTGCACCGGGGTCCCCTCCTTCATCCTCCACCCCCCCACCCCGGCCCCACTCAGCAGCCCCTGCATGCCTGCCTCTGTTCTAGGTCCCCTGCCAGGAGCAGATGGAGAGGAGGAGACCATCAGGTTCTCAGGAAGCTCACAGCCTGGCTGGGGAGGATGGAGGAGGGCGATATGATGGAGGGGGGTGTAGAACTTCATACCTGGGGAAGGAGAGGGCAGACTGAGTGGGTGGAAACTTAAAGGCTGTGGGAGCTCAGAGCAGGAGGGCACCTGGGGAGCTTCCAAACCTGGCACTGAAGTCTGGGAAGACAAGCAGAGCCCGGAGAGGATGCTGCAGGCAGGAGGCTGTCCTGACAGTGCTGGGTAGTAGGTGGGACGGGGAGCTGAGGACCAGGCAGGGGTGCCGTCTGTGGTACAGGGGGAGAGCAAGGCTAAGGAATTGGACTTTAGCTTGGTTGTACTGGGGATTCAGGGAAGACTTTAGCATCTGCGGACCATGGTCTATGAGGTAGGGAGAGCTGGACGGAGCAAGACTGGAGGCAGGAAGACCCAGAAGAGGCCTGGGCCACCAAGAATGGTGTGGAACGTTAGGCTCCAGATGAGGCTCCATCTATGATTCCCATAAGACAGGTTGTTGAAAGGGGCATTTGCATATGGTTTACAGAAACAAGTTGGCATTTTGCTATTAGTAGATGGGGGAGGACATCCTTCTTGTTCCTGCCACCTGGACTCCTCAGAAAAAGGGAAGGTTGGGACCCCTCTAGGGCTGTGGGGTTGGCAAAATAGCCTGGTCCCAGGACAGAGCTGGGAGGCTGAACAAGCCTCAGAGGGCTGGAGGGAAGGAAGGAATCATGGAGTCCTCTCCACTTGCTGGGCCTGCCCCTCCCTGCACGCACTCCTGGGCTGCCTCAGCCCATCCCAACCAGCACATGCACAAACACAGTGCACACTTTCATGGAGACCCTCAGTGCCCCCCAACACACACAGACATTCACTGTCCCATAGAGATATCAGGCATGTGCATACCTGCACACACACACTGCAGTCAAAGACATCCACACACTCACAGTGGCTACCATCCACACGTGCACATTCGTATCTGTACACAGGATACTTGAGTTCACATACTGGAGAGCCATGCACACGCTTATGCCCATCCCGCCCCCTCCCGATAAGCAAACATAATCAGCAGCACACAAACACACACACACATACACACACAGCTCCTTGCCCATCAACAGAACGCACAATTGTACCTACTCTTGCTAACTAGGGGGTGGGTCTGTGACCCAGTGGGAGCTCTCAGGAGTGGGGACCAAGGCGGCAGAGAAGGCTGAAAGCCCAACAAAGGCCCACCCCCTCACCAAGTTCAACAGAGCTAAAGGACACCCCTTCTCCCAAGTAAGGAACTGGTACGGCTGGCACAGCTCAGGGAAAGAGTGGGCACAAGTCGCACATCAGATGCCAGGGACCAAAGGCTCCCCACTCCTCAGTGGGACTTATTATCCCAGAATCAAAGAACAGAGCCAAGACTCTTTCCACACAAAGAATCTGCAATCAAGTCACTCTGAGCTGTGAGCTGCAGGAGCCCAGAGCTCTGCGCAGGACAGCATGTCCCTCAGAGAGCCCTCCGCTGAGCCCATCTCTATCAGGCTCCAATATTCCTTGCAGGGCTCCCAGGTTTCCTTGCTGTCACTTGCCCTCATTTGCAGTTCTCTCTTTGTTTTGCTCACTTGTTTAATGTCTGGTGCCCTCATCCCTCCAGACTGTATGGTCTGTGAAGGCAGGGCCCGTCTGGTCCATCTCGGTCACTGCTGCTATGTTTGCATAGCACAGTGCCTGGAGGTGCTCAAGAAATATGCCTTCAACTGATGGATGGGTGAGTGGATGGATGGAGGGATAATGAATACAAGAGCAGAGACCTAGAGAGGGGAATGGGGCTTGTTAAGGAAGGAGCTGGTGAGTCAGCCCCCAAGTGATCTGCCCTGGGTACTCCTTTTACTCTCTAGAACCTTAGTCCTTGGGATCTGGCAGCAGCAGGGAGGTCTGGGGATGCCTATGCTGCCTCTCAGAGGATGTGAGATCCTGTGGCCCCAGGAGCATGGGGCAGGAAAGGGCATGGAGCAGCTGGACAGGATCAGCCAGACAGGATGTGTCAGACCTGTATGCTCTGGGGAGGGGGGTGTCCTGGAGAAGAACATTTCCACTTGAGTAGGAAGGGCCAGGCTTGGAGGGGAGGCAGACTGCAAATAATCCAAATACTTTTCAAGAGCTCTTCACTGCCCAGGGTGTTTGAGGAGGTGAGCAGACAGTAGTCAGGAACTCCTGGCAGCCACAGGTAGCATTTTGCTCACCAGCACGCACCCCACTCCTCAGCCTTGCTGTATCACACTCTTCCCCTCCACACTTCACCTCCCTGACTTGGCTCATGCTGGTCCTAGAATATCCTATCCCTTCTTCTCTGTCTGTCCCCCCCTCCCCACGTCCCAAAGTCCCACTCAAATGCTGTCTCCGCTGTGAGGCACCCCTTGGTGCTCCAGCATTATTTCATTTGGCCAGTGGTGGTATGAGGGTGAGCCTGCCTTCCCCCAGACTGAGCTTCTAGAAGGCAGGAATGAGTATGACTCCTCTCTCTGCCTCAGCAACTGTCCTGGGGCAGGCAGGGCCCAGAGCAGTGTTTTGCTTGGGTGCCATAAATTTAAGTGATCTGACCAATCCCCCTTGCCAACACACAGAGCCTTTCCTATCCCCAGGAGAAGGCTGAAGCCTGAACTCCTGGCCTGACATGAAGCCACAGTGAACAGCAGTCACAGCAACCATACCCCTGCCCACAATGCAACAACCTTCCAAACATCTTGCCATTGTAGGAGCTTCCTCCTTACTGGCCCAGCCCTCACAGCCCCCACAGGAAGTCCTTCTAGGAACTTGGCACTCCAGACCCCTTTCCCTCAACAGAGGTGGGCGACCAAGCCATCGCCTCCCATGCCCCACCTCTGTATACTGTGCCTAACCCAGGTCCTCCTCCAAGCGACCAGCTCTGGGACAGATGGGGACCAGAGGAGGGAGGCAAGCGGCGCTGAGAACTGGGTGCCAACGGCAGATCCGTTCCCTGCGGGGACAGAAGCTGGGGGTGGCGGAGCAGCTTGCGGGAGAAACCAAGGGGGCCGCCTCCCCCTCCATAAGGCAGATGGGGCTCCGAGGAGACCAAGCCAAGTGTCCCTTCCTTCCTCTCCTCTCCCCGTGGCCGCTCCCCGCGCCCATCGCCCTCCCCCGCCAGCAGCTAGGGAAAGGTCAGGCGCCTCGGAAACCTTTAATTTCGTTTTAATGAGCTCAGGAGTCCCCGGGCGGGCGCTCCGAGACCGGCTCATTTATCTGTCCGCGCCCTTTACCGAGGCGGTGGTCCCCTCCGCAGAAGTCGATCCCTAATAACGGCGATTTGAGGGCGCTAACCCTTCGGTTCTTAGGACTGGACACAGATTTTGAAGGTGCACTTCCCCACGGACCCTCAAAATCTGTGTTCAGTCCTAAGAGACTGGAAGAACCGCAGAGCCCGGACTCCGCAAAGCTCACCCAGCCCCACAGGGGGAGTCGAAAGCGGGGAGCTCCGCGAGGGGCAGAGAGCTCTCTCCCTGGCAGAGAGCAGGAGGGGCCCTGGCTCGAGTTGCCGGCCCATCTCCAACCCAGCAGCGTCCCTCCTTCCAGCTGAGGCCCCCTCCCCTCCAGTCACCCGCCCCAGGAAGCCCGCCCTGTTGCTTGGCATCTGTCCCAGCCTCGGATGTGGGTCTGGCTGGGGCTGGATGCCTTCCCAGGCAGCCCTGCTCCGGGGGCCTCCTCTCCTCAAGCCTCCCAGCTCCAGTCACCCCCATCTCTGACTGGCTTTCCCACACTGTCTCGATCGGGTCGGTCGTATCTGCGCATCCCTCCTCAGGGTCACTCGGTCCTCTCCCATTTGGCTGCATGCATGGCCTCTTGGGACACTGCCCCCCACCCGTCTTGAAGGATGTCTTGGTCAGGGCTGCGTCAAGGCTCCACCAGGTAAGAGTCCAGATGGGGCTCACATATCCCTCTACAGGTTGCTGATGGGCAGGCAGCTTCATCCTGCCCATTCAAGGTGGGGCAGAGGGCTCCTCCCAGACTCCTCCCAGACCCCCATTTACCCCATCTCAACCCCAACTTACTGTTCAACACGCGGAGCTCCCCGCTTTCGGCTCCCCCTGTGGGGCTGGGTGAGCTTTGCGGAGTCCGGGCTCTGCGGTTCTTCCAGGTTCTTAGGACTGGACACAGATTTTGAAGGTGCACTTCCCCACGGACCCTCAAAATCTGTGTCCAGTCCTAAGAGACTGGAAGAACCGCAGAGCCCGGACTCCGCAAAGCTCACCCAGCCCCACAGGGGGAGCCGAAAGCGGGGAGCTCCGCGAGGGGGCAGCAGAGAGCAGGAGGGGCCCTGGCTCCGGTTGCCGGCCCATCTCCAACCCAGCAGCGTCCCTCCTTCCAGCTGAGGCCCCCTCCCCTCCAGTCACCCGCCCCAGGAAGCCCGCCCTGTTGCTTGGCATCTGTCCCAGCCTCGGATGTGGGTCTGGCTGGGGCTGGATGCCTTCCCAGGCAGCCCTGCTCCGGGGGCCTCCTCTCCTCAAGCCTCCCAGCTCCAGTCACCCCCATCTCTGACTGGCTTTCCCACACTGTCTCGATCGGGTCGGTCGTATCTGCGCATCCCTCCTCAGGGTCACTCGGTCCTCTCCCATTTGGCTGCATGCATGGCCTCTTGGGACACTGCCCCCAACCCGTCTTGAAGGATGTCTTGGTCAGGGCTGCGTCAAGGCTCCACCAGGTAAGAGTCCAGATGGGGCTCACATATCCCTCTACAGGTTGCTGATGGGCAGGCAGCTTCATCCTGCCCATTCAAGGTGGGGCAGAGGGCTCCTCCCAGACTCCTCCCAGACCCCCATTTACCCCATCTCAACCCCAACTTACTGTTCAACCCCCCCCCACACACACACACCCATGGGGCTCCATCCAGTGCACCCTGCCTTGCTCCCTCCCCTATTCTCTTCCCCATCCCACCCATAACTGCTCTTACCAAGATGACAGCTGCCACAGCCCCGGCCTCCTTGTCCACCAGCGGTATGACCAGCACTGAGGGGGAGAGGGCAATGAGGTGGTCCCGTGGGGCCAGTGAGGCTCAGAGGTACTGAGCCAGGACCCAGGGAGGGAGACAAAGACACAGACAGGGAGAGGCTGGGACAGAGACACAGAGAGACCCAGAAACCCGGAGAGACAGAGAGATGGGTCCTGAGGCAGTGACAAAAATGACCACAGCAACAACCCTTGCATAGAAGGAAACCCCCACTCTTGGCCACTTTCTCATGATCCTCCCAGCAACCCTGGGATGGAGGGAGGCAGGTAAGGCTGAGCACCCCTGTTTCACAGATTGGGAAACTGAGGTCCAGAAAGGGGAAGTGACTTGCCCAAGATCACACAGCAAGTCAGGTCTCCTGACTCCCAGTCTTGTGCACTTTCCACATCGAGACAGAGGACAGAGACCTAGAGAGACTGAGACACGAAGCAGAGAGACATGCGGACAGGGGACGTGGAGAGGAAAAGAAAGAAAAACAGAGTGACAGAGAGCGTGACAACTACAGCCCATCTAACCACCAGCACAAGCCACACCCCCTCAAGGTAGGTTCTGTTGCTCCCATTTTACAGACCAGGAAATTGAGGCTCAGAGAGGTTAGTAGCACAATAGGGAGAGATTTAGATGGCGGGTTTGCTAGAAACACAAAGCAAGAGAAAGAAGGAGACAGACAGATGGAGACAGGGATAGAAGACAGATATGGTCTGGGGAGCAGGGGCCACAGTTCTTCCCTGCCCCTGCCCAGCTCCCAGCCCTTACCTTGGGTGTCAGGAGCCAGTGGAGCCACCAGCCTTGCCAAGGGCTTCCCAGGCAGGTCTGAGGGGCCCAGTCCATTGCAGCCCAGCCGCTTCCTCGAGATCACAGCCTCTCTGAAAAGAGGATACGATTCTACCTCTCAGTCCCTGGGCTTCCCAGGTGGTGCTAGTGGTAAAGAATTCACCTGCCAAGCAGGGAACACAAGAGATGAGGGTTCAATCCCTGGGTCGGGAAGATCCCATGGAGAAGGCCCTGCAACCCACTCCAGTATTCTTGCCTGAAGAATCCCATGGACAGAGGAGCCTGGAGGGCTATGGTCCACAGGGTTGCAAAGCGTCGGACACTACTGAAGCAACTTAGCAAGCACACTCAGTCTCTGGATCAAAGAGGAACAGGCCCCAGCCTGGGGACACACAGCGGGCTGGACCCTGCACATCTGTGAGGATCTGGACAAGTTGAGCCGCTGCACGGTGGATATGACAAAGGCAAAAATCAGAGTCTCAGGAGAAAAGGGAACCCTCCTGCACTGTTGGTGGGAATGTAAATTGATACAGCCACTATGGAAGACGGTATGGAGATTCCTTAAAAAACTACAAATAAAAACACCATATGACGTAGCAATCCCACTCCTAGGCATATACCCGGAGGAAACCAAAACTGAACAGACACGTGTACCCCAATGTTCATTGCAGTACTATTTACAATAGCCAGAACCTGAAAGCAACCTAGATATCCATCGACAGATGAATGGATAAAGAAGTTGTGGTTCATATACACAATGGAATATTACTCGGCCATAAAAAGGAACACATTTGAGTCAGTTCTAATGAGGTGGATGAAACTAGAGCCTGTTATACAGAGTGAAGTAAGTCAGAAAGAGATAAATATTGTATACTAACACATATATATGGAATCTAGAAAGATGGTAGTGAAGAATTTATTTGCAGGGCAGCAATGGAGAAACAGACAGAGAGGACAGACTTATGGACACGGGGAGAGGGGAGGAGAGGGTGAGATGTGTGGAGAGAGTAACATGGAAACTTACATTACCATATGTAAAACAGATGGCCAATGGGAATTTGTTGTATGTTTCAGAAAACTCAAACAGGGGCTCTGTATCAACCTAGAGGGGTAGGGTGGGGAGGGAGATGGGAAGGAGGTTCAGAGGGAAGGGACATATGTATACCTACGGCTAATTCATACTGAGGTTTGGCAGAAAACAACAAAATTCTGTAAAGCAATTATCCTTCAATTAAAAAAAAAAAAATCAGAGTCTCAGACCCTGACTCTCCCCTCCCCATGCAGAGGAGCAGGCAGCTACAGTCTGGCCTCTGGTGCCTCCTGCTGGTAGATAATGGGAAAGGTATCTTCAGGGTACAGCACAAACCCCACAGAGCAAATAAAAGCCAGGGCTCAGAGCTAGGCTGTCTAGGTTAGATCCTGCCATAGCTACCACTTGATTTTGGGCAAGTGACCTAACCTCTCTGAGCTTTCCAGGGAGATCTGGGGTGGAGAGAGTATAAATAGAAACATCAGAATCTTCAGAAAACCATCTGGAGCAACTTTTGGTGCTAAGCACAGGAGGGGGACTCCAAAAGTTTATTAGGCATCCCTATGTGCATATTAAAAAGCAGAGACATGACGTTGCCAACAAAGGTTGGTCTAGTCAAAGCCATGGTTTTCCAGTAGTCGTGTATGGATGTGAGAGTTGGACTATAAAGAAAGCTGAGCGCCGATGAACTGATGTTTTTGAACTGTATTGTTGGAGAAGACTCTTGAGAGTCCTTTGGACTGCAAGGAGATCCAACCAGCCAATCCTAAAGGAAATCAGTCCTGAATATTCATTGGAAGAACTGATGCTGAAGCTGAAACTTCAATACTTTGGCCACCTGATGCAAAGAACTGACTCATTGGAAAAGACCCTGATGCTAAGAAAGATTGAAGGCGGGAAGAAAAGGGGATGATGGAGGATGAGATGGTTGGATGGCATCACCGACTCAATGGACATGAGTTTGAGTAAACTTTGGGAGTTGGTGATGGACAGGGAGGCCTGGTATGCTGCAGTCCATGGGGTCGCAAAGAGTCGGACATGACTGAGCAACTGAACTGAACTGAACTGATGTGCCCATGAAGTCCAGTCAACCTACATAGATAAATTCCCAGTGATCCCATAGATTAAATACTATTATCTTTTCCATTTCTCAGGTGGAGAAACTAGTGTGCTGAGAGGTTAAGTAACTTGTCTGAAGTCCCACAGCTAGCAAGAGGTAGAGCCTGGACTTGAACCCAGGCATTTGGCACCAGAGCCCATACTGCTAACCAGTACCCTTGAGTCTTCCTAAAGACCAGAGGGGACTGAGGCTCCAATGAGGACTGATGTGAATGTCAAGGAGGCATAGGGCATCGGTGTGATGGGGGCAGGGGTGGGAACTGAGACAGGGGAGCCTATGGTAGGAAGAACGAACTTCTCTCTGCCTTCAGCACACATTCCCCCTGCCCCAGCCTCTGGCTCTTCCTGCTTAATTAAGCGCCTGAGTTTTCACCAAATGTCACTCCCTGATGATTAATTGTCCTGGGTTCTTCATCCCTCATGCTGCCTCCACTTAATTGTGTTTGTAGGAACTGCCTGGCCTGGAGAGAAGAGACGCTTGCAGGGCTGGGACTCTGGTGTGTGCATGTGGAGTCACTCATGGGAGCCCAGCAAAGGTCAGGTGAGGAAACAAGAGGGGTAGTTTGTGAGTCCCCAGATCAGGTCCCAGCAGCTAGAGAAATTAAGGACCAAAGAGGCTGAATGCCTCAGTCAGGGTCATGCAACACTCTGAATCCAACCCACTCACTCCTGGTCCCTTGGTTCAGATTCTACGATAACCACTGGTGTCTCCCACCTTCCAGCCCTCACCCCTGGACCTTTTAGGTTTCTGGAGGGCCGGATTCCAGTTTTGAGCTGTCCAACTGTGCCAGTCACCCCAGGAAGGAACAGGGATCCAGGGTGGCAGGAGGCAATGGGAGCCACGTTTCCGAGGGACTAAGCTGATAAAGGCTGGGGCTTTGTGGAGACAGGGACTGGCCTTGTTGACCCTCAGCCAGACCCCTTGTAGCGGACCCCACCCAATCTCTTGGCCTCAGATAAACTAGTTATCGGTCAGCCACCAGGTGGCGCTGGTCCTTGCACCGCTGGTCCGTAAGTGCTGCAGCTTCATCTCACTGACCCCTGACTCCTCTCTTCACAATCCCCAGACTGTGGGCTACCCTGGCTTCTCTCCTCCTACCTCCCCACTCTGCCCTCAAGCCAGGACCCTGATAAAGGAATTGCCCTGAGCTTTTCTTCTGCACAAAACTCCCCTTCGGTGCTCATGGTCTCATGACTCCAGCCCCCAATCCCTTAAGCTCCAGGACACAAAGTCCGGCTGAAGGCCTGCCCTGGGTGTCCCTGAAATAGTCAGAGACCCCCCCAGTCCTGATCGGAACTTATCCTCTCCACCGCTTCCCCGGAAGTAGCAAAACCATCCACCGGGTCCCCTGCAGCTTATCCTCAAACTGTCCTGGCTGTCTCCCTCTCCTCACCTCCCCATCCAATGGGTGAGTCACTGCCCCTGCATCCCCACAGCTCTCCCCTGCCCTCCATTCCCAAGCCACTGCCCAGCTCAAATAGACACCTCTCCCCTAGACCTGCAACAGCCTCTCTCCTCGCCTCCTGCCTCCTGTCGGGTCCCTTAAATCCAGCCCCCACCAGAGTCAGGGCAGATGTCCTAACTATGAGGGCGTTCTGCTTAAAGCCATTCCACAGAGTATTTGTTTATTCCACAGAGTCCCTCTGGGTAGGTTTGGTACCGAGGACCAAGAGAAGGAGTCATGGTGTCGTCCAGCAAATGAAGTACAGACCCACGCCGGAGTGCAGAGATGAAAGCTCTGACAAAGGAAGGAAGAGCAGGCCCCAGCTGACCCCTATGCAGGACAGAAGTGGGATCAGAGAAGGAGAAGGCTTCCTGGAGGAGGAGATGCCTGAGTTGAGTCTTAGAGGACACACAGATGCTATCAAGACAGACAGGAAAGGAAGTGCAGGTGGAGGGAACTGCATGGCAAAGGCTCAGAGGAAAGAAATAATGTGTGTCTGCTGGATGGTCCACCGGCCAGGCAGCTGCAGAGGGCCAGGGTCCTGAGGAGCTAGGCTTGATCCTGAGGACAGTGGGAGCCCAGGGACTTGAACAGGCCAAGGTGAAGGTCAGGTTCAATTTCAGGCTGATCATGCTGGCTGCTGAGTAAAACTCTCACTAGAGAGGGAGAATCTGAGAGACAGAAACTGGTTCTCAGTGAGGGCCTGTAGTCTCAGATGTCCCTGGAACAGCAAAAGGGAGGCTGGGCTGGGGCAGGGTCAAGGCTGGAGCCTTGACTGGGTCCAGATCTTCCACCAAGCACTGGGCCTTCCAAGGATCTTCCACCCTCAGGAGTCCCCCCTCACCTCGGAACTTTGCTCTGTAACCCACCCTCTTCTGGCCAGCCACATCCCAGAGCTCTGGGCAGGGCTGTGCCAGGCCATGCTCACCTCAACCCACCCTGCTATGAGCCCTCTTCTGCTGCCTCACCCTTCCCAGAACTGCTGTACCCCTAGAGGTTTCAAAGATGCTGGAAGTGGGTAGGGGACTCCAAGGCTGTGTCTCCTCCACCTAGTCAGGGCTGGGGCTTCATCTACTGCTCACATCCCCCACTCATGTCTGCCTGCCTGTCTGCCTGCTAAGTCACTCAGTCATGTCCGACTCTCTGAGACCCTGTGGACTATATCCAGCCAGACTCCTCTGTCCATGGGATTCTCTAGGCAAGAATACTGGAGTGGGTTGCCGTGCCCTCCTCCAGGGGATTTTTCTGACTCAGAGGAATCCAACCCATGTCTACTGTGGCTCCTGCATTGCAGGCGGATTCTTTATCGCTGAGCCACTGGGGAAGCCCCACATCCCCCATGACATCCCCTCAACTCAGTGCCCCCGCCCTGCCTCCACTCCCCTCCTGACTGCCCCCTCCAACCAGGATGATGTTGGAGGGGAGGGAACGCCACAGCCCCGGGGCCAGCTGTCCAGATTGAAGGCTAATGACTCAATTCTGGTGCCTGGGTGGTCATGGGCTGCCCCAGTGAAGATAAAGACAGATGGACACAGAGTGGGGAGAGGAACGGGCGTGGATTTTATGATGGTTCCGTCCCTTTAACAACTATTTGCTTAGTGGAGGGCAGAGGAAAAGGCTCTCTGTTGGTGGGGTCAATGGCCTGGAAAGAGCACCAGGCCCTCTTCCACTCCTCTGAGCCCCTTCTTAGGTGAGACCTCCCTCCCCTGACGGAGCCCCCCACCTCCAGGGTCCTCATCTTCACTCTCATCTTTCATCCCTCTTGGAGACAAATTATGATTCAGGCCAAGACCCCAACCCTCCTTTCTGCCTCCCTCTCCCTCCCCCAGAATGTGAGACTCCACAGAGATGGGAACAGACTGTTCTCTGTGTCCCTTGAGGTCAGTCAGAGGGGCAGATGGATTCTGCAGTGAGTGGGGACCCGGTCAACTCTGAGGAAGAAATTTCTCTCAGTGTTGGGCCCCTGGCCCCCCCCAAACAGTGGCAGAGGGAGACAGCCAGCTGGGAACGGGGTGGGCGGTGTCTCCGCTCTAGTCAGAAAGGCTTTCACTGTACTCAGCAGGGAGTAATCAGAGGCTTTAAGATGGCAGGAGACACAATGAGAAGAGGACTGAAATAGGCTGATTGAGATTGAGGCGGGGCACAGAGAAGAGAGAGAAGGCTTCCAGGAAGCCTCTCACCCAGGGAGCCCTCCAGGATTCTCCCTCTCCAGCCCTGAAGAACCTCGCCCCGCCCTTGCAGCCTCAGGATTCCAAGCCCACAGCCCTCAGACGTCACAGTGCCCCAGCTTATCAGAGCACATAGTGTAGACAGAGGCCCAGGGAGACAGCATGAGCTTGTGATGGTAGCCATGTTGTCCTGGCTCCCAGCCCAGGGTTCTTCTCGAGGACAGACCCATCCCCTAAAGAGGCTGCCAAGGCCCAGACACCTTTTTTGGAAAACTGAATCCTCCTTAGTGCTGGGGATCTATGGAGCAGGCTTCCTAGCAGCCCTCGGGCTGGGCCCTGGCAGAGAAGGGAAATGGGCTGGTCAGGGTGGAGAAGGTACGCGGAAGGACTTCGCGAGGGAGGAGACAGCTCGGCAAGCACAAGGAGGCAGGGAACCCAGGACACACGCCGGGATGAAACGGCATCTGTGAGCCCGTGGAGGAGTGCGGGGCATCACGGGAAGGGCTGGGTAGCCGGTGGGGCCGCCTCACTCCCCCCACCCCGGCTCATCTCCACACTGCCTCCCCACACCACCCTGGGCCCTTATCTGTCTTTATGATCCGTCTTCACTTCACACCTGCTGCTGTTTGCCTGCCCTGCCAGCCCTCCAGGGTTTCCTGGAGGAGCACCCCCTCCACTGGGGCCAGCACGCAGGCTCCACCTTGGGCTGGGGCCGGTGCCTGGTCTCCCGATGGCGCACCAGAGGGCCCTTTGAAAGGCCCTGGGAGGGAAGTAATTTTCTCAAGGTCACCCAATGAGTAAATGCGTTGGGACTTGGGGGTGGAGGGCAATCAGCAATCATTAAACTCCTACTGTGTGCTGGCCCTGGGCTAAGCCCTGGCATCTCATTAAGCCCATAGGCAGGGCCCACTGTTATCTCCATTCTGTAGATGAGAAAACAGGCTTGGAAGGGGCCCCAGTGGGGCAGGGATGGGGCAGGGCTAGAATCCAGGCCTGCCTGACTCGCATTCACGTGCTCTTGCCTCTTCTGCAAACCTCTGCCAGTCCAAGCCGAGGAGGTGGGCTCACCACCAGACACACGGTGAGTGGGTGAGTGGGCAGAGCACAGATTTCAAAAGAGAGGACTGGCCTGAACCTTCACCCCCATACTTGCTGGTGGGACGCCCCGCTTGCCCCCTCACCCACCTTGCCTCCTCAGCCTCCTAGGATTTCTGAGCCTTGTGTCCCAGCAGTCTTCCCCTCTCCACTCTCAACTCTGAGCTAATTGCATTAGAACATTTACTTTTAATTGCCCTTTTTTTTTGGTACCTTTTCCAAAGGCTTTAATGAATCTGAAGTGGCCGGAAGTGGGGATACTGAAAGGGCTTCTGATGCTGCAGACGATCTGAGCCCCTCAAAGATGCCTGGACCGCAGGCCCCCACCCCCACCCCAGCTCACGCAGGCTCAGAAGGAGCAATGCAGACCCCCTGAAGGATGCTCCCCTCTTGGTGTCTGAGTCTTCGATCCTGCAGCCCTCTCTCAGGAGAGCCTTCCCAGGCTGCCTCGAGGAAACTTCCTGGATCAGACAAGCTCATATTAAATAAAGTTCTTGAGGATTAGGGGTAGGGGTACAGGCTCAGAGGAGAAGAGGGGACTTTATAGCATTTTTTCCCCTTAAGATTCTGAAGACCTCCCAGGCCTATCCTGCCATCTTACAGATGGGACACGAGAAGCTAGAGAAGAGCATGGCTGCCTTAGTTCACACAGTCCTCGAGAGGAGAAGTTGTCAAACGATGCTAAAGGGGACAGTGTCACCTACCTGCCCACCCTGTGGGAAAATCGACTGGGAGAAAAGGAGGTGGGAAGGCTCAGAGCTATTGGAGAAGCACCAGCCCCTTCCATGGGGAACAGCCGGAGGATAGAACAGCATCAAAGAAGCCAAGGTTCCCCGTGTCGGGGGGGGGGGGAGGGGCTCAGGACCACCAGCACCCCCAGTATCAGGACCTCCGGCATCCCCCAAAATCAGCTCTTTCCATAGCCTCTGTGACAGGTGTTTTGCCAACCTCAGCTACTACCTGAAAAAGCCACATCCCTGACTGACATGTTGGAGTGGAGCACTGCCTCTTGGTAACACCCCCCACTGGTGTCCACCCAGCCCTTATAGCTCCCGACCCTGTGCTCCCTGGGTCCATGACACCCCTGCACTACTCAGAAGGCAGTGCCCATACCCTCCTTGGCCTGCCCTCCTCTGGACCAGAGTTCCTGCCCATCCACACTTTCTCATCAGACAAGCTCCATTTCCCTTCTCTCTCCCCTGGACAGCCAGGAGCCAGGATACCGTGTCTCAGACCTGGCTGTGCCTCACACCAAGTATGTGGCATTGGACACGTCTCACGATGTCTGCTCATCTGGAAAACAGGGAGGCTAAATTCAATAGGCTCAGAGGCGCCAAGGGACCATAGGGCACAGAGCCCGTGTTCCTGAAGTCAGTGATTCCAATGTTCTACCATAATGAAAATAAAAACAGACATTTAGCACTCATTATGGATACAGTTTTAAGGGCATTACATGTGTTAAACGTTTAATCCTCCCAAGAATCCTCCCATAATAGTACTACGAGATGAGTACTATTATTATCGCCAGTTTACAAGCAAGAAAACCGGGGCACAGAGAGGCTGAGTCCCTTGCCCTGGATAGTAAACTGGAGCTGGGGTTTGAATCCAAGCAGCCAGGCTCCAGAACCCACAGCGGGATGTGGTCTGTGATCTCCCCGTTCTCAGAGTTGACACCATGCGGTCTGGCATTCTGTGACTCCAAGTTCTGTGATTCTGTGAGAACCTGCAGGCAGTTATCGTTGCCTGCTGGGGTTCTAGCTGACAAACTGTAGCCCTGACCTTTTGAGACTCAGGCTAAGAAGGCTGCAGTGGTTTAGAAAAGCTCTCCAGGAGGAAATCTAGCAGTTGGCACTTTCCCTGTGTCATCCACTCCCCAAACACAACACAAGAGAAGACAGTGCTTCTCCCCTCTATGCTGCAGCCGGTGACCCAGCCAGGGAACCCCAGCTGGCAGGGAGGCTAAGGTCAAGGTCAGAAGGGGAGGGTGAGACCAGATCTTGTGGTATCCCTTGACCATGTGAGAGGGCAATGGGTGGAGAGCAGCTCACCGCACTTTCCCCTCCTGGGGCAGTTCATGGTGGGGCTCCTCACACACCAGCCGGGATTCCCCATCCAGCAGGTAGGTGTAGACTGTCTCCTAGAACAGAAGGCACTCATGAGATCCAGAGGAAAGGCCCTCCCACCACCCACTTCCAGTCTGACACAGGTCTGAGTGACAAGGTCGTGGGCATCTGTTTGTCCGTCATTACTCCCCAGGTGATTCTAAGTGCAGCCAGGGTAGAAAAACTCCCCTGTGATCTCAGCACTTCACTCTCTCCTGGGGAGGGTCTGATGGGCTGAAGGAACAGACCACAACCTGCCAATACTCCACAACCCTGAGATATTTCCCTGCAGAGACTGCAGCCTCAACAGACAATAACTGAGTGTCCACTTGGGGCCATACTGCAGAAGGGCTCTGCAGGGAAGAGGGTATCTTCCCTCCTACTTTAGATACACAACCAAGAAATCACACACTGTGAGCCAAGCCAGGAGGACTTCTTGGAGGGAGTGACTTTAAAGTTGTAATTGACATGGGAATTAGACATATTGAGGGAGTGGGTTGGAGATGGAGATGGTAGAGGACAGGGAATCCTGGTGTGCTACAGTCCATGGGGTCGCAAAAGAGTCGGACACAAATAAGCAACTGAACAACAAAAGGGAGTGGGTGAGAATGGCTTCTGGGCCAAGTATTAATAATAGGTAGGTAGGTGTACAGAGTCCAAAGCATTGATGGAACCGACAGTGGCGAGGCCAGCGGGTGGCACAGGAGGTGGGTCTGGGATCAGGGGTGCTGAGTGGGAAGGGAGCTCGGGGAGGGTTTTGTTGGGGAGAGGGACTGCTGCTGGGGAGGGAGGAGCTGGTGAGCCCTGTGAGATAGGAGCTGATTTGTATTTTGGAATGATCACTCCCCAGAGTGAGATCAAAGCTCTGTTTGAAGCATATCAAATCTGCAGCTTGTCAATCCACCCTCCCCAAGGACCCAGGGCAGTCCTTTGTTTGGGGGTGGGGGGACATGCCACTCAGTGTGCAGGATTTTAGTTCCCCGTCCGGGGATTGAACCTGCACCCTCGGCAGTGAAAGCACAGAGTCCTAACCACTGGACTGTCAGGAACTGCCCCCCAGAGCAGTCTTGGTTTCAGTTGCAGACCATGTCTTGGCAGAAACAGTTGCCCTCACTGACCCACAAGAGAAAATCCACATTCCCTCCAAGTGGGACTGGCCATTCTTAGAAACCCACAGCCAACCTGTCTGCAGAGCATCTCCACTGCTGGAGTCGCATGTGATGAGGGAGACCCAGGTGCTCAGCAGAGCCTACACCCCATCAAGGGGGTACCCACGTGCCCAGCTCAGTATCCTGAGAGGCGTTGTTTTCTCAGTGGGAGAATGGAGGGCTGTCCTCTCTGCTGACTGTATCAGGGAGGGCTTCTGGAGGTGGTGACACTGAAGCTCCATGTTAAAGTAAGTAAGTGTGGAGTCCTTCTCAGAAGCCATTGCCTTTCACAGCTGTGAGAGTCCACAACCCTGTCAGACATTCTTGTTGCCCTTGGCTGTCCCCAGCCAGCCAACCCACGTTCTCCCAGCCCCCAGGAGATGCCCCAGTCCCACCTCCAGAGAACTGAGCCAAGCTCAGAAGTGGCATGGGCCAGAAACGACAAGACCTGCGGAGGGTGAGCAGGGCAGACACAGGAAGACCGGGCCCCCTTGTCTTCCTGGGTGAGGGTCTAGTAGGGGAGTTCAGAGATGAAGAAATTGGTGGGAAGGAGGCCCTCACACCTCATCTATATTCAGCCTCCTCCTGTCAACCAACCCTTTACTCAGCCTAGGAGGGGCCTGAAGGATTTGGTCCCCAAAAAAGGTTAAGACAGTACCCAGCACCCAGAGTCTTGCCCTGGCAGAGAGAGGGGCGGGCAATCCGAGGGTGGCGAGCAGGCAGGCACGCACATCCTCACTTCACTTCCGGGTGTCCGTCTGCCTCCACCCCTCACTCGCAGCCCTCTGGGTTAAAATTAGCTGAGTTTACTGGAGAGAAGGAGGAATCATTTCAGACACATCAGTCCCATCTGCATTTGCGGCTGCCTGCCACAATGGGTGCTGATGAGGGAGCCAGGTGCCAGCAGCTCCCCTCCCTGGCGTCTCCCCACCCCTCTTTGGAGAGTTGAGCTCCTCCATGCAGTCAAGACAGGGCTTCCTCCCCAAAGTCAGGGCTTCCCTAGCTCATGCAGGTCTTTGGGGGTGGACCAAGACCAACACTTCCCACTGTCCCAGGGATCTAGTCACTTGGACCGGAGCTGTTTTCCTGGCCCCCGGCTTTGGGGATACAATTAATCTAGTACAAGGGCATCTCTGCTGGCACCACCAGCATCCTGCCTGTGAAGACCCTCCTCCTCCCCACTCCCAAGGCAGCCTCGTGGATGCTGACCTGCCAACCTCCCCACCTCTTCTTTTCCAGATGTTTCTCCATCCCAGGCCAGATGTTGCCTCAATCCCATCTCCGGGAGGATTTATTTTGGGAGCCAACACACCACCCACTTCCTACCAATTTCACGCTCAATAAAGCTCACTCATTAGTCTTCCTCCTGGGCTCTGAACTTCCAGGAGGTTTTGAAAAGACAGAGCTGAGGAAAGAGAATGGGGATGCTTAGGTGCCAAGCCCCGTTTGTTCCTGTCATGCTGTGTGACCTTGGGGGAAGTGTCCTCCCTCTCTGGGCCTTGAGTGGATCATTCATCCAGCAGATTCAGACACAGTAGGCTCTGCTGGTGGCTGTTGTCTAGGGTAGAGGAGGGAACACCCCAGGCTATGGGACTCAGTTTAGGCATTTCCTCTTCTGGTAGGTCTCCCATGCCTCTTAGGGTGTCAGAGCCCCCCTCCCCAGACTGACAGTCCCCTGCTCCCTTCTGTCTGGCACAACTGATACACTGCTGCTTTGTGTCTTGAGAGCCAGTTCATCCATCCTCCTGCATAAGGGATGCATAGTGACCACGGGAGCTGAGTTGAGGAGTGGCCTGGGGCAACTGAAGAGGAGCACAGTCTCCTCATCCAGGCACTCCAGGCCCAGGAAACCATGCTGACCAGGTGACCAGGGGCCCAAGCAGCCACCCTGCACCTGTTCCCAGTGTGCAACCTCATCTATGGTGTTGGAATGGGTCAGAGAGAAGCTTAAAGGCTTCTAGAGGCTTCTAGAGGACATGTTATCCAGGCTCCTGACTCTAGACAGGACACCTGAACTCAGCACAGATCTATTTATCAAGGCCGAGCCCCATTCCAGCACACAGCTGATACCAAGGAAGTTCTTCTGCATCTCTACTCTCAATCCTTCCTGCTATACATATTCCAAACCTCACGTGACTCACTAGGCCCTACCTAGTGAATCCATTAGGTTATTATCCTAAGGGTATCCATTCCATAATCTGAGACATGATCTTTCCAATTACACTCTAATGCCCCTTCTGTCCCAGACATTCCAGAATTCCCATATCAGTTCATTCACTGGGGCTTAGTTTTAGTCCTCCTCCTCCAGGAAGCCCTCTTAAACACTCACCCATACCCTTCACTTCCCCATGACAGTCCTCTGAGCAGAAACCCTGCTTCTTCTTTCCTTCTCAACCCTGTAGGTTAAGAGGAGCTGGGAAAAGGCTTAAGGGGCAGGAAAGTATGGAACAAGGCACGTACCACTTTGGGAAGCACAGCTGACAGGGCCTCCTTGACAGCCTGTTGCAAGCCTGCAATGTCGATGACAGAGCCCAGGCTCAGCAAAGCATCCTGGAAGAGAGGAAACGGCAGTGAGGGCCTTTGCCAGGCAGGCCAGGACAGCGCCCCTACCCGGGGGCTGGGAATACAGACTCAGCTTAACCCAGGGCCTAAGGCTAGCAGACACTTGAATCCCAGGATTTTAGGAACTCAGAATCCAACCCGTCTTCTTTTATTTCCCCAACAAGTCTTAAGGCCTTAAAATGTCCAAGTCCGTTCATCTTACAATGAGGGGTCTGGGGCTTAGAGAAGGGTCAGGGACTTAGCAAAGAACTCACAGTAAGTCAAGAGGTCAAGACCTAGACCTAGACCCTAGGTTTCTTGTCCTTCAGCCAAGGACAACTCAGGCATAGCAGGGAAAGTGCAAGCTTCTGCATTAATATAAAATGAAACAAGTCAACAAAAAGCTCCAAATTTGAATTCTAGCTCCACTGTTTATAAGCAGTGTGAATCTCGGTCAAGTCACTGAGCCTCAGTCTTCTATCTGTAAACTGGGGGCAACTAAGGCTATCTCCCCCTACAGGCTGATGTGATGATGAAATGAAACTGAGTGCCCACACACACAGGTGCTCAGCAAAACATTTGCTGAACCTGGGTCCCATTCAGTCTCCCGAGGAGGGAGGTGGTCTTGCACAGTCTCATTTTTCATCCTAGTGAGGGGCTGGGAGTAACAAGAGTTCATGGGGTACATGAGCCCACAAGATTCAAGAAACACAGTGAGGCCAGCCCCTGGTGAGATAGAAGGGGAAGGAGAACTCAGCCTTGACTGCCTCACAGCCTTCCTGTCCCAGGAACAGGCTTCGTCCTTGGAGAGCCGGAACCAAGACAAGAAAGGTCCCTGCTTCTCGCTCTATTAACTTGGCCAAAACCATGGGGATCAAAGAGAAAGGTAACAGAACAGAGGATTCAGGGCCAAAGCAGGACTGTGACTCATACCATCCACTCAGCCAGGCCCTCCCCGCTAGCCCCTGCAAGTTTTTTCTGATGTCTTCCTTGTGGATGGCTCAGTCTGTGTTCATAGAGCCAAGTGATTAATTGTAGGATGGAAGACACATGGCGTGGCCCCCATTCCTATAAAAGTGATGTGAGCTTGAGGCTCTTATTGGGCCACAAGCTCAGTATGAGCCCACAGCATAAATGTGGCTGGTAATATATTAAAACACTGGTTTTATTACAAGCGCATGCTAATAAAGATGTTACCCTAACTGGGGAAGATGAGAGTTCGTCCATGTCCATGGGCTGATTAGATCATCCCCAGTGCACTATGTCCCGGGTAAGGACAAGAAGAGACTCATTCAGAGGAGGTGACGTATGTAAAGAGAGAATAAGAAACCAAGTCCTGCATGGAGAAACTGGGGATGCCTTGTCTGCAGCAGAATAGATCCAGGGGGCTCACTATTTGACTCCAATATCTCAGCTTTCCTGGGCAGGGCGACTGGACTCTGTGGCCCCAGAGACAACCTAGAGACTCACAGGATTTCACAGGAGGCAGACCTTGGCCCAGGGGGGTGAAATATCTTCCAGGTAGAACCTTGCTACATAGGCCGAGGCCACTAGAAGAGAGGTGAGGAACTGAGCTCCCCATACTTGGGGGGTATGCAAAAATTGGCTAGATGCCCATTTTTCAGAGAGGCTACAGAGGGAAGTCCTGCACTGTAGTCCAGATGAAGCCTACGGTCTGGGCTTTGGCTCCAGATTTCACCTTGCATCTTCTTGGCTTCAGTGTCCTTCCCTACCCTGACTCCCATTCCCACCCAGTCCTGTGTTCCAGGTTGAGGGAGTAGTGGTGGGCTTTCTCTTCAAATGGCATTGTCTTCTCCAACCCCCAACCTTCCTTTGATCCCTTCTACTGCTCAAGTGAAGACACATTTCAGTCACAAAGATGTGTCTCCATCCTAGGACACCAGGAGCTGCCCACTCCACAATACATTCCCCAAATTGGATCAACTGTCCTTTGATCCTGAGGCCCTCCTCATCATAGCTCACACACTCTCAGCACCACATATACCTGGCTAGCCAGTCATAGACCATCATATTCTCACAGAAACACCCCAGCCTGCCTTCAGACACCCTCCAGGTTCACATATGGGTTCACACAGGTGCAGATGGATTCACAGGTCCAGGGCTCAGCAACATGTTGGCCACTGTGGCCTTTCTAGGTCAATTCTGCCGACTAAAGAGGCGAGGAAGAGCTGATGTCCCAGATAATCCTGAAATAAAGTCTGCCAACCCAGGCTCCTCAGACAGTGGTTTCAAGGGCTTGGCCCCAGAAGGTAGTGCTGGTTTAGGTTTGTTCCTGCCTGGAGGCAGTGGGGAAGGATAAGCTAAGTGGAGGGCCCTGCCCTCTAATCAAGTTTGTGTGTGTAGTGTGGAAGTTGGAGAAGAGGGGCCAAGGTGACGGAGTGAGCTCTGATGTCCGGGGAGACATGTCTCAAAGCCACAGGCTTAGGACAGCTAAGTCTCCCCATTTGACAGATGAGGAAACTGAGGCTCAAAAAAAAAGCAATGCCCCATCTGTGGTCAGCCAGCCAGTCAGGACAAAGGCAGATCCAGAACCTACCTCTCTGGAACTCCAGCCTCTGTCTTCTTCCTGCTCTGGACTGATCCCCAGCTCCTTCCCCAGGGGCCTTAGAGTGAATAGTCTGTCCTTTGTTCTGATTGGTGGCTCCTCTACCTGCCCTTTACTTGGATTGGGGAATACCCTGAACTGTCCTTTACTGAGATTGGTGGATGCCTGTCTGGCCTTTGCTTGGACTGGTCAGTTTTCTGCGACTCCTCACGCTAAGGGCAAGATAATGGCGCAAGAGGGGAATTGGGAAGGAAAGTTAAAGACAGTTGGAGCAGCAGGGAGGGGGCCCATGGGCTGGAGAGAAGCACGCGATGAAGCCCTGGGTGGTCTCTGCCTGATATCTGTCTGTCCACACACCTCCTGGCCCTGCCCGGCCTGCCTGCCCCAAGATGGCGGGTGTTGAGTGTAGGAAACAGAGCTGGGAAGGGCCACTTCACACTTGGCCTTCAAGATTTGCTCACATGCTGCCTTCTTGAATCTTGCCAAGATCCCAAATCTATTTCACCTCCTGCATCAACTCAGGGAGGAAATAGTTCACATTCCACAGACCATGAGGTGAGGCTCAGAGGTCAGAATGGCTGCCCCAGTGAAGGAAGAAGAGTCAATGGTACTGAGGCTCAAGTCAAAGGGTTTTAAACCCCAGAAATCTTAAACAGATGAGGAGAGGAAAAGTACAGACAGAGCCATACCTGCTCTCATGCACATCTACACATGTCACACGTACACATATTGCCGTGCACACCCACACACCCACACACAAACTCACACACATGGATAAAAATGCAACCCTATAGAAATGGCCACCAACTCCAATATTCTTGCCTGGAAAATTTCATGGACCGAGGAGCCTGGCAGACTTTATTTAGTTCATGGGGTCAAAAAGACTTGGACACGACTGAGCACACATGCACGCAATATACAAGGCACACATAAACATACACTTTAGCATATACACACATGCACAAATAAACACACTCAAACATACACAGCCAAGCTCAGGGTGGGGTGAAAGAGGTCACATTTCCTGCCCTTGCAGCTTTTGTGAACAAACATCAGTGTAAATATCGGCATGACAACCAGCAATTTCCCAGACCCCAGAGGAGAATCTGTGGTGTGTAGCGAACAGTAGCTGTTTCCAGTGTGTTCCAGACTGACTGTGGAAATTCTGTGTGGTCTTAGTAGGCCCTTTCCTCTTCTGAGTTTATTTCCTCACTAGTAAAAATGGGTCCTTCCAGCTAACAACACATAGTTCTACCATTTTGTGTTTTAATTCAATGAGAATGGGTGAACGGATCTGTCAAGGCTGTATATTGTCACCCTGCTTGTTTAACTTACATGCAGAGTACATCATGTGAAATGCTGGGCTGGATGAAGCACAAGCTGGAATCAAAATTGCCGGGAGAAATATCAATAACCTCAGATATGCAGATGACACCACCCTTATGGCAGAAAGTGAAGAGGAACCAAAGAGCCTCTTGATGAAAGCAAAAGAGGAGAGTGAAAAAGTTGACTTAAAACTCAACAGTCAAAAAACTAAGATCATGGCATCTAGTCCCATCACTCCATGGCAAATAGATGGAGAAACAATGGAAACAGTGACAGGCTTTATTTTCTTGGGCTCCAAAATCACTGCAGATGGCGACTGCAACCATGAAATTAAAAGACGCGTGCTCCCTGGAAGAAAAGCTATGACCAAACTAGACAGCATATTAAAAAGCAGAGACATTACTTTGCTGACCAAGGTCCATTTAGTCAAAGCTATGGTTTTCCAGTAGTCATGTATGGATATGAGAGTTGGACTATAAAGAAAGCTGAGTGCCGAAGAATTGATGCTTTTGAACTGTGGTGTTGGAGAAGACTCTTGAGAGTCCCTTGGACTGCAAGGAGATCCAACCAGTCAATCGTAAAGGAAATCAGTCCTGAATATTCATTGGAAGGACTGATGCTAAAGTTGAAACTCCCATATTTTGGCCACCTGATGTGAAGAACTGACTCTTTGGAAAAGACCCTGATCCTGGGAAAGATTGAGGCAGGAGGAGAAGGGGATGACAGAGGATGAGATGGTTGGATGGCACCACCAACTCAATGGACATTGAGTTTGAGTAAACTCTGGGAGTTGGTGATGGACAGGGAAGCCTGGCATGCTGCAGTCTATGAGGTTGCAAAGAGTCGGACATGACTGAGCGACTGAACTGAACTGAATGGATATGTGAGTGTGTGGATGAATGAATGAGTGGATGGATAGATGGGTAGAAGGATGGATGGATGGGTGGATGGAGCCTTCATACTTTCCCCAGCTCCTTACCTGCAGCTCTATGGTTGGAGGTAGGTCTACTCAGCACTGTAGATGGGGCTACTCCCCACACACTCTAGAAAGTACCCCAGGTACCAAGAAAGTGGGCCCTGTTTGGAGGGAGGTCTCCTCTGGAGCCAGCACTGGGAT